TGCACCTGTCGTACCCAGTGCGCACAGTGCGGACCGCCCTCGACTTTGACTTGCCCGGGCAGCGAGTGACCTCAGCTCACTCGTGCACACGGAGTGCTCCCTGAGAGGCCTGAGGTAACCTGACGGGAGGTGCTGGATCTGCCCTGTTGGACCAAGGAGACCTCCCTGTCAGTGACGATCGTCCTGGCGCTGTTGTTCCATTGCCGGTTGGGCCACCGCTGGTCGTGGGAGGGCATTCAGGGGTTGGGACCGCCCTGCGAGCTGCACCTGGAGCTGACGCTTGCGGGCGGACTGCCCTTTCGTCGCCCATGGCTTTACAGTCGTCTTTTGCAATTGCCATTGGCAGCGCCGTCGATGGAAAGGAAGCAAATGCCCCAGTCAGCGACGACAGGAATCACAGTAACAGACGTTATGCGCCAAACGGCCTGAGCACGGCACGACAGCGGCCAGCAATGGCTACGCCGGACCTTGGGCACGAATAGCGACACCAACGACATGGACGCTTACCTATGCCAATGCCAATGTCAAAGCCCGGTCGACTGTCGAACTGACTGGTCTACGTACGCAGTACCATGACTACCTACGGACACCCAGCAGGCCCAGCAGCAACGCGACAGCAGCGACCACCTCCCATCCGTTGACCGCCCTCCACCACGGCGCTTCATGTCCATGTCAAATGAGCCGTTGAGAAAACAGACAAACAATACGGACCGATCTGCACGCCCTGCATCATCAATCAGAATAGGGGACCACCTGTCATCACCGCTACGTGCGTACCTGACGATTACCTACAGCTGCCGCCGACACCGCCGCATTTACCGCCCGTCGTGCTCATCATCATCTTCATCGTCCCTCTGCTCCCCGTCGCTCTTCAGGGGCCCTCGCCAGGAACCTAGACACCTCCCAGCGCTGTCCGCTCCCCTGGCTGGGCTGGCTCGCCTAGCACAGCAACCCCCCGGCGACTATTTGGCTTTTCTCTCGTTTTGCCTCGTCATCATCAAACAATCGGGTTATTTCTGCCATCATCTCCACCAAAAGAGTGGGCCGCTCGTCTCCCAGTCAAATGCTAGAACGAGACACACCAAATTACCTTTCGCATCCCCACAGACAAAACCTACGATAGGGCGGAGCAGGGGTGGTTGCTCGCATCTGTTTCCCATGCCGCCAGGGACTGCCCGCTGCCCGAACCGCTCAGAATCTGAACTGACTTGACAATGGGAGTCTGGCCTTCGTGGAGGCTCGTGAGGGTGCACTGCGCAACCAAGAAGACATGATGGGCGGGAAACCCCAGAACTCAGAGCACACGACGGCCACTGATGAATCCCTCGCCAACACCCGTTGATCAATGACCAGCCTCTGGCCGTGAAGGTGGCCATCCATCCATCCATCCAGCGCCCGCCGTGCCATGCCATCCCTGGGCCTGGCGATGGCCAAAATGTGGCCGCCGGCACTCGGGTACCTACCCAACCACCACCGCCAGTGCTCGTCAGATAAGGTAGACTTGGCGGTGCTCTGACCCTGTGCCAGACGAATGTTCCAAAGCTTCCATGTAGCCACTCCCCTCCTCGATTGGGCAAGCACCGTTGTCGCCGGCCGGGCATCATTGAGCGTGCGCTGTCATGGAGGGCATACAGAGTGTGGCCAGAGCCACTCCATCTCGCATTATCCCGAGTCCCAGATCACCCAACGCGCAGTATCCGGATCTCTTCGCAGCATCTCACGCACATCTCTCGCCTCCGCGTCGTACGGCCGTGCCTGACGTCTACCTGCGATGGTCTGGCACCTTACATGAACGGCAACCAGCCCCCGACAATGGGCAGGCGCAGCTCATTACCGCTCATTTCCCACGCGGCACCCTCACAAAGACCATCTTCGAGACTAGCCGCCGCAGAAGCTGTCGCCACCCTAGTGTTTGCGCCAGCTTCTTCTTGGCAGCCGAACCTCGAAGGGAAAGGGAAGAAATGCATCATTATGCCCATGACCGTAATGTTACGGCACGAGGTGCAGAGTGCCATCTAATGAACGCTCGGACGCTATGAAATTGGCTGCGGCCATCAGAGCACGTATCAAAGTCACGAAACAAAGTTGCGCTGGAGCTGTTTGAATGGTCCCTTGCTCCCCCTTCCCAGCCCATGCCTATTCCGTGCTGTCACTGACGTCTGAAGCCGAGCCTCTCTTTGCTATAGCATGGCCAATCTCGATCCAAGGGCCTTGCGAGAGTGCAACGATGCAAGGTGCAGGGGCACCCGGCTGCTCCGCCGTATGAAAGGGGCAATATCATGGAATCACCCCATTCGTTCTGGAAGAGAGGTCTGTTTGCCAGAGGAAACCTTCTGGCGCGCCGTGACGGTGAACAGGCCCGGCATTCATACACGCCAGCCTTGGGGACAAGCCATTTGGCCTGAACAAGTCGTCATCCTCGTGTGCGTTGGCCGTTTGGCACACTAGTATCTATTAATGGCCCTTGGGACAAGACAGACACAGCCGTTGAACCGTTGTCCCAAGGGCCCTTTGCAACTGGACTGCCCTTTGGACAGTAGGAGAGCACTGTGTGTCCGTGGCGTGGTACATGCAGCAGGAGTACAGAAGCCTCCGTCGACGGCTTCGAGTGTTCTGCACGTTAGCGGGGTTCCTAATTCAAATGCTGAATGACGCGCCGGGCTTGCAGCCTCCTCGCCGGGGAAACGTCTTCAGAAAGCCATCCTGCAGGCCGCCCTGCTCGTACTGCGGTACTCGAGCAAACGTCCATGGAGAACAACATGCCATTAGAGTCGGAATCGGCCCCCAGAGGGATACACACGACAGGGACACACAACAGCCGACCCCTCTCCGCCGAGGATCAGCATCACCAAGTGGACGGCCTTGACGTCTCTGCCTCTGCTGGGTCGGCTCCTGTGCAGGGCAGCTGAGCATCTGAGCCAGAGAGCAGCGGCCAAAAAGGGGTGCCGCCGCCAACATCTGTGACAAGATGCTGCAGGGATGGAAGCACTAGCCTGGCACAAAAGCTGGATGCGTGGGGAGAGGCGATGGTCCATGCATGAAGGCAGGAAATTGGGAGATTGGCACTAGTCCCGCCGGGGAAGGTTTCCAGAAGCCTTCTAGAAGGGATTGACGGCGTAGAAGCCTGGATGGAATTACGGCTGCGTCAAAGGGATGGGCTGCGCCGCCGTCTCGCCGCTTCATCTGCGACGAGTGTGGAGCCCCGAGGTCAAACCGCCCCTGCAGGTCCTTTTTTCCCTCTCCACTCCTTCTGGAATGCTTCGAGAAGGTTGGTCGGGCTCAGGGGTCCCCGGGTAATTGGCCGGCCGAGCAAGATTACACGGACTTCTTGCTGCACACGGCAGGGCCTAGCAAGCAGGGCACCTGGCATCGTATCAGCCTTGGACGCGCTTGCTGGCGTCGCGCGGACGGACTGGAGGCCCGTCTCACTCACACGGTCACGGTACCGTACAGCGCTCAGCTCGCGCCTGGCCATGGTTATGGTTGTCGGGCTCGGGCAGCTCAGACAAAACGTCCGTACGGTCGACATTGTCGTGTGTGTTTGTCGCCCTGGCCTCCCGTTCGAGTGCGCGAGCATGGCTGCCTTGACTTGAGAACGGGACTGCCGTTGGGAAAGAGAAGGGTTGAAGTTTGAAATGACTGGATGATGGGGGGATGCAATGGGCTTCCGGCATGACCAGCGCGATGCATCACGGGACAAGCAGGGCAAGGGATGACTCCCAACCGTCAACCGTCATCGTAATATCCCGCGGCTCTGCTCCCGAAGCTCAGACTGGCTCGAGCAGGGTCCCATTGCAAATGGGCGGCCCTTTGCCAGAGCTTACCACTCCCACAGAAGTTAGCGGTATCCGCATCGTCAAGACATGGACCTTGTGTTCTCGCAGCAGCCCAGACACAGGCGCGCCGCACAGCACGGCATCTACCATGGGCTAAGGCACACATGCGGCATCGTTTATTGCACCCGCAATGCAAGGTACGTGGTGTGGTCAAGGTGATGGGGGTCTGTAGACTAGCGAGCATCGACGGAGATTGCCGCAGGCGACATTGAACAAAGATTGTCTGTGCGGGTCGTACTACTGCAGTTACAGAGATCCTAATCAGTCGAAGCTCACGAGCAATCTGGTGACACTGACCGCCAACCTCGATGAGGAAGAACGAGAGACGTGGGGAATGGGAGAAGCGAGAAAAGAGAGCCCCCTAACCCCAGCACGGACGAGTCGAGAACATGCTTCGACGGTCAGGCGCAGATGATGCAGAGAAGCGGTCAGCAGAGCCAAAAGGCAGTTGGAGGCTCTGCTCGATGCTGAGTGTAGTGCAAAGTATGGAGCATGTGGTAAGGCGGACGAGGTTAACGACTCTGCAGCCAGCATCGTCCCAAACAGCAAACCCGAGCTAAATTGAGCGTGTACGAGTCGTACAACCATCCTCGGGGCAAGCTGTTTCAGGCGGCTGGCTTACATACTGCATCCAACTCAACAGCTGAAGAGACGAGTATGTACGTACGTACTGCACTGCACGTCGAGAAGGGGAAGGGAATGGGGAAGGGGATGCGGCTGCCGGATCTCCGCAACAAAGTGAAGATCCTAGGTTCAGTCTGCTTGCTGCCGTCTGCGAATAGCCTGGACATCTGCATCATCGGCCGACAAACAGCGCGGTGGCGCAACACGGCGCTAGCGGGAGGGAATATCTGTTCCTGGCAGGTCATAGTCGAATGTCAACTCGGCGCGGCGGCTACAGAATGATTGACGGGCGCCGACGTCGTTTCCTATGCATCAACCCTTGGGCCTCTTGGGGGGGGGACGCTTCCATGATTGTTCCATGCAAGCTTCTATTCATCCTTCCATTGTCGCTTACTGCCTTCCATTGTGCGACCAGGTTCAGCGCTCCGACCCCTGACGTTGGCCCCCAGACTTGCTTCATGGGCCGTGCCCCTCGATGCCGCACCTTTCACAGTGCGCCTCTCACTGAAGACTTGGGAGATACCTTGCAGATGGTCGTCCATGGGCACGATTGGCATCATGTTCCGTCATGTCTGTGCCTGCTGGGTGCCATCCTCACGACGCTACAACACGACAGCATCACCGTCAGAGTATTCGACAAGTACAGAAGGAGAACCGGCGTCCCTGCGGCCTCCTACCTGGTCCTGCCTCAGGCTCACAGGCCACCCCTAAATATCGACCATCATGCATCCTTGTTTGTCGTCAACCAGGAAGACCAGGTCACATCAACAGCCTCGGTGAGGGCCGCGAAACCGAAAATCTTGTCTATTTTTGTCGGATACAGTCCTCTTCTTCTCTCTCGCGGCGGGCGATACACCGCTCTCTCAGGTGTCCGCGCTGTGGCAGACGCCACAAGATGCCAGATGCTAGATGCCCTCGAGCCCCAGGATGGCCGTCCGTCGAGGCCTTCAGCTAGCGTTCCAAGTTTATCAAGACAACGACGATGCCGTCGACATCTGCGTCAGCCCTGCTGCCACCGTGCAGCCTCAGCCTCCCGTCGACTCCGTGCCGGAGCAACGACATCTCCTAGCCAGTGTCTCTCTTGCGCCGCACTAACGACCGCTGAACCGGACACACGCACGCGCACACACACACTCGACGAACGCCCGGCCTGATCGCACCTCGAAACCAATCACCGTACCATTGTCAATGCTGTAGCGCCCTCCGCCTCCCGTCCAATGCACCCCAGGGACAGAGACGGCACACCCAAGCCTCACCTGGATCCAAGATAATACCAGAGACCACCATCAAGACCCTCAAGCGTGGCGGGTGCACATGTCAGCCAACTGGGTGCTTCCCGCGACCCGGGCTAGTCAGGATCAAGGGCGAGACGAGAAGAAAAAAAATCAAAGTCGGAATGGAGTCGTCAATAGCGCGCCCCAATCTCCCGATCGTGGCCATAGCCCATGGTTTGTTTAATAATGCCCGCGACGGCCGTTCCGTTCGCCATTCAGCGGCTCAGAACTTTTGCCCTGCACACCTCTTGTCGAGTTCCTTGAATTGTCCTTTCTCGATCTGGACATGAAACGCCCGTGCCGAAACCTCGTCTCTGTCAGTCGCCAAACGACGTCTCCAGCTTGACTAGCACGGGATAGAGCAGCGCTAGCCTCGCCTTGCCTTGCTTTGCTTGCCCTACTACTCGCCTCGCTGGCAACTGGACGACGACGGCTAAACACGACAACGACCACTCGTTCAGGAGTGTCCCGTCAGGCCAGACGCCGGCAGTTGGAGGGATGGGCATGCTAAATCTCGTTAGACCCACCCACACGAGGAAACCACGTCTGCTAGCTAAACTTAGCTGAGTGGGATGAACTGACTCCGAGATGACCGTCGGCCGGCGGTGCGACGCTACGCCGTCTTTACGGATACACTACCTCTGAATCCTACCCCGAGAGCTGTCAAATTGCTGTTGCCAAGCTCGGGGCGCTGCTCAACAAGCACTCTGGTGGCCGTCGCGTCGCAAGGGACGCAGATTCCACGATGGTGGCCCCGTTGGCTGTTTCGTCCTTTTGGTTGCATGGCACGCACGCGCACACCTTTTCCACGATGCATAGACTCTCTGCTTGTCCAGGCTGACCTTGTCTCGCGCCTTCAGACGGCAAGGGCCAGCAACCCATCAGACAGTCAGCGCCCAAAAGATATCGAACCGGATTCACGGGGGAAACTCCTGATGGGTCTCCCTGCGGCGAGAACCGGCATTTCCGCTGTTCCACATGATCCCGGCAGCTTGCCAGGCCGCCGGGAAGCGAACGGGTCGAAGCAATGCAGCCGTGAAAACAACAGCCACGGGCTGCATCTACACGAAGCCGCCGCGGTAGAAGACAAAACAACCGTCTACGGGCTGCATCACGCGCGCTCCGCAAACGCGATCGCGACGTGCTAATTGGCAGGCGCGGGAGGACGATGGACGAGGCCCCAGGGAGCACGTCCAACAAGTGCCCTCCCGCTCGGGAACCTCAAAAGTCATGTGCCCACACGGACTCTCGCTACTGACTTTCTGGCGCGGCTTCTGGAAGGCATCGACAACACCATCATGGTCCTTTTGGCTAGACACCCGACCGAACTGTAGGCATCGACCTCTCCACCTTGGGCACCATTGGGCTTCCTACCGGTGATCATCTCAACGTTCGTCTCTTCATGCTGGCGAGGATGTGCAAAAGGAGGCGAATCTCTCGCTCAAGCAACGCTGCCTCTTTGCCTCCTGAAACCGCCATTAAAAATTCAATCCGGCCGAGTACCAAGAAACTGACTCAAGAAACCTCAAACTTCCACAGGCTGAGCGTCCGGCTCCACACCCTCATCGGGGCCGACGGCCGCCACTCCCTGCCGCCGCTGTCCCAAGGTGCAGATTTCCAAGACACACAAAGTGCAGGTCGCGGGACTGGCATCATCGGAGGATCGAACTGAACAGGACCGGCAGGCAAATGAACAAGACGGCGCTGCGTGTTCCCCATCGCCAGTCATAATTCGAGGACGCCAGAAGCTCAGAGATTGCAGGCTCTGACGTCGTCGAGTCCTGTACCCCTCGATGTCTGCGGACTGAGATGGATGGGCCATAAGCTTTTCTCGGACCCGTGAGCCTGTGAGGGACTGGTCGGAACTGACCCTTTTGAAGCGTTACATAGGGTCTTCGGCAGGCAGATCCACGACGGGCCATGACGAGGGCTCAGCGAGCGCAGCAGCCTGATCTGGACTGACTCCGCGGTTCGACCGCGCAGCAGGGAGCGTAAACCTTGCGGGAGCAATGCCAACCCCGGCTGCAGGTCTGGGTCACGCCCGTCCCATTGGGTTCCTCGACATCCGACAAGACGGTTCACCCGTAATTACCGAGCATTATGGTGACGGTCAGACGATCTAATCCGGGGAAGCGAATAATACCCGAAACCTGCAAAGATGCTCACGACGACGCACTCGCAGCTCTCGGTTATCTTTTACCGCAACGCAAGTGGGTAGGGTCTCAGCAAGTCTTGATACCATTTCGTTCGTACGTGTTGGGGCCCCGTGCGTTGGGAATGATCGCCCGCGAGTCCCACGCTGGCTGTGCTTCATTCATGCCTGGAGTCACGTTCCAGACGTTGGCTTGACATTGCCGAGCGGCCGTGGGTGCCTCGCTGTCAATTCTCCGGTCCCGCTGCGACGGACCAGCAACCTTCGGGGAGCATCCCTACCTGGCCCGGAGGCGATCACGGTCGTCTATCGCGCCCAGTTGGACGGGCTCAGCTGCGCTGCGCATCCGACTTCCCAACACTGCTGCTGCCAACCGGTCGCGGCCTGCAGGTCTCGCAGCCGGACGTGGGGGGGCAGGCGTTGCTTTTCCTTTGCAAAATCACCAATGAGCGACAATCAGTGACCGCGGTTTTGATTAAGTGCAGCCGGCCCTGGAATTCGGGCTGGCGTCCGTCAGCTCTTGGCCGCGAAGGGAGCCTGTTGATTACACATTGGGCAAGACACTCGGGGATGTCGGAAGTCGACCGGTGAGAAGAGCGCAAAGGTGCATCGGGGACTGATTCACAACGTGCCAGGGTCGCATTCCGATGCGGTTGATCCACGACAGCAAAGACCGTCAGGAGGCCCCGTGCTGAGCAGCCATCTTTCGCCTGCGCGGTCCGCTCCGTGATTCCGCCCGGGGCCGGCGCCGTGGCCAGGACACGGACCAGTGTCGCCGCCGAGCAGCCATCGCGGCATCCGAGCTTCGCGAGCGGAGGACGGCAAGCTTTTTGGAGTCCTTGTTGCACGATGCACCGGCGGACCCGAGCCTGCGTCACGGTGTGCATGTTGAGCTGCAGATGCAGCTGCAAGGCGGCCTGGCGTCCTTTCGCCCTACCGATGACGGTCTTACATGACGGAGGGGTCCGACGAGGTGGATGAGGCGCTGAGACATGCTGTCCAAAAAGTGCCATACAGGAGCCGCCATAATGGACGACATGACACCGTCGACTGCCAATCACTCTTTGTGAGGAAACGGCTCCCGCGCCATGTGTTGTTGTTGTCTCAATACCGGTGAAGGATTGAGGATGGTCACCCTGCGACGACGGGCGAGAGATTGGCTCGCCGAGTAAATGCTTGGTGCCCTGCACAGGGATGCGATTCGACGAGGCTCACCGAGCGCGGGGTCGCGTCCGCCCCCCTGGTGAAGAAGAATTTGGGGGATTGCGACTGTCGTGTCCGAGAGGTCTATCGTGCATTGTTGTCTCTGAAAGAGAGGCCGGTTGCAAGGCTGACATCGCTTGACTCGGGAAATGGACTAATGGATCTAATAGCACCACGGCTGGGTATAATGCTTTGGGCCGTGACATCATGGCCGATCGCGATTCCACACATGCGTGTCTAGGGGTTCTGACGGAGGTCAGGGCCGCCTCCGAAAGATGCATCGTGTTCCCGTCTGTTCCCCCTATTCCCGCCGCGCGGGACGGCCCTAAAGAGGGAGTCTCCGCGGCCACCAGCGACCTGAACCAACGTAAGCGAAGCCGGAACCGCAGCGAGACAAGGAACGGGTCGACATTTGTCTTCTCATTCGCACACGCCGCGTTTCCTCTCCTCAGCGGGGTATTTGGGAGGATCCTGCATCAGCAGGGCGTCATGGGAGGTGGCATTCCACGCACGCGCCGCCATTAGGGGTCGCCAACCAGGCGCACTATACACATGCGTATGCATCATGTCGGGGCTGACGTCCAGATGTGTCTGGCCGGTGAAGGTCTCTCCAGCATTCGTTTGGCAGTGCTGCCAAGGCCCTCCAGTGTGGGGGGGTTTCTGCTGGTTGAACGAGGGCTCTCAACATCAGAGGCTGGGGAGTGAATCAAGCACAAGAGATTGGATCAAATGGACGCGAGGCAGGATCTGCCTGAGAAGGGGTGAGGTGAGGTGAAGTGAATGACCCATCCACCGGGCTGCTCCACGAGTATATATAGACGGACGTCGACAACAAGAGCCTGCAGCTATCCGCAAACAACCACCTCATCCATCACACATCCACCTTCACTGTCATCATTTTGGCAATAGCCTCATCCGACACCAGACCACCCTCAACCAGTCACAATGGGACCCCACGTCAAGACGGCCCAAATCCCCGCGCACGGCACCGTGCTGGACATTGGCGGCGGCAGCATGTCCTCCAACGTCCTGGACGACCTGCGCGCCGTTTTCCCCATGGCGGCCCGCAAGGGCGAGGCCAAGGAGTACCCTACCATGCCCGACGAGCTCCTGTACACCGACGAGGGCCTCGCGATCTGGGCCAAGATCATCTTCACAAAGGAGAACTACCAGGCCCGCGACGAGATCCAGCTGTTCAAGGAGAACAGCACCGAGATTGCCGTCGACATTCCCGAGGGCGCCGTCATGGTTGACCTCGGTGCTGGGTGAGTAGCCCCTTTTGTGAAGACGAGCACGACTGACCTTTCCAGCGACATGCGCAAAGTCAACTACCTCCTCGGCCAGCTCAAAGCCATGGGCCGCCCGGCCACGTATCTCGCCCTCGATATCTCGGAGCGGTCGCTGCGGTCCAACCTCGACCTCCTCGCGCCCGCCCACGCCGGCGGCAGCGTCCGGATGGCGGGCCT